TGGAGGGATGGATGGATGGAGGGATGGATGGATGGTTAAATGGGTGGAGGGATGGATGGATGGAGGGATGGATGGGTGGATGGATGGAGGGATGGATGGTTAAATGGGTGTAGGGATGGATGGATGGAGGGATGGATGAATGGTTAAATGGGTGGAGGGATGGATGGATGGAGGGATGGATGGGTGGATGGATGGATGGATGGGTGGGTGCTGGTCAGGAGAAACCTTTCTAAAGGTGAATAAACGATCCTTTTGAGCGTCAGTTTCAGCCTCGGCTCAGCCTACAGATAGGATCAGTGGTCTTATACATGGAAATAAGGAGCAGCATAAATATTTCAGTTCACCCTGTGAGCGCTGAATCGATCGCTCGCACAGCTGCAGCCTGTGAATAAGAATCATCTGCAGGACAAAATGAGAAATAACTTTAATCCCACCTGCTTTATTGCACTTTATCCCTTCATCTATTGACTTGTGTGAAAGGAAAGAGCTGTGCAGAAAACACATTTATTCAAGCTTAAAGGCAGATATGCTACCTGTTGTACTCCTGTGCATGAAAGGTTTTTCGGGGAGGATTAAAAAATGTTGATTTTTATTTAAAGAAAGTCTTTTAAAAAGATGATGAAACACTTTCTAACTGCTTCATTACAACAAGGCCTTGGAACGGTGGTTAACAGGTCGAGTTATCTTCTTCCTCTGCAAAGAAAATACATCATTTCTTTGTTCAGGGACACAAAGACGAACCTTTCTATGGCTGCTGAGTGAAAGCACATTTCTTATATTATATGAGACCTCTGGACTTTTCTTTCTCCTTCTCTCTGACATCTGTATCATGAAAATTTATTCGCAGGATCCGGAGAGACGCTGTTCTCCTCCTCTTTCTCCTCAGCGCTCATAAAACTGCCTGTGGAGAGTTTACAAGGTGGGAATGCTCAGAAATCACTGCTTTGCCCACACCAACACTCACACCTGCTCGCTAGGCCATGAAAGAAAGATCTGTGAGGTATACTCTGTTTGGAACACCAGGTTGGACCTCCTTTTTCTGTCCGAGCTGCTTCAAGTCCTCGTGGCTCAGATTTAACAAGGAGCTGGAAACGTTCCTCAGAGCTTTTGGTCCACGCTGACTCGACAGCATCATGTTGGTGCAGATTTACCGCCCGCATCCATGAGAATGTCCCATTCCATCACATCCCAGAGCTGTGACAGGACTGAGATCTGTGGAGACCGTCTGAGGGCAGTGAACTCAGGTTCACGTTTGAGATGCTCTGAGCTCTGGCACATGGAGCATTATCCTGATGGAAGAAGCATCACAAGATGGTTCACATGATGAGCAGCAACACTCAGGTTAGCTGTGGGGTTTAAATGATGCTCAGATGGTACCAAGGGTCCCAAAGTGTGCTCAAAACGTATCCCGCACACCATCAGGAGGATGAACTGCTGATAAAGGCAGGATGAGTCCATGCTTTCATGGGGTTTACACTAGAGATGGACCGATCCGATATTACGTGTCGGTCCGATACTGACCTAAATTACTGGATCGGATATCGGAGAGAAATAAAAAATGTAATCCGATCCATTAAATATTACGAAAGCACCTCACAAAACTTGCGACACGGCGTAACTCAGCTCATAACCGTAGCACGTCTGAGAAGTATGCGTCACATGATAGAGCGGCTGTGGCGTGCGAGACCTGTCGGCGGTCTGGTGGAGCATTTGGAGCCTCGCTACCAACCCTGCATTTCATCTCCGAGGAAGCTTTCCCAGAGAGAAGTGAAGCAAGTGTGTAAGTTCACCTCTGAATGCTTGTAAAGCATTCCAGCCTTAAGCTTAACAACTGATCTCTCTCCCTCTCCTGCTGCTACTTCAATCGTGAAACTGATCAGCTGATCTGCTTTTCTGTTGCGAGTCCGTCTCTCTTGTTTGTTTTTGGCCCACTTTGCAGCAGAAAGAGGAAACCAGCAGCTGAACAACAGCAGCACATTTAAGCTTGATCAGCTGTTGTTAGAATGTATTTAATATTACTTTCTACTCGAGGATCTTTTTCTAGCTGACGGCTGTAACTGTGCAGGGGCGGATCTAGCAAAGTTTAGCCAGGGGGGCCGATAGGGCATGAACAGGGAAAAGGGGGCACAAAGACATACTTTTCTTTCTTATTCTCATTTAAAATGTCGAGCTTTTAATAAATAATTATCTGAATCTGATGTAAAATGAATAGAAGTCCATTACTGTATATAGTAACTGTTAAGTCTAATATACCCTAGTAAGCTATAGTACTTTTTCCATCTGTGCAGTCTGCAGTTCTGTAGAAGAAAGAGGTTGAATCTATTTAATTATTGTGGAAAAATAATTGATTTCTGTGCTTTTTTTTTACATGTGCATTAAGTTAAAGTTGGAGGCTGGGGGTGGTTCCCTTTTTTATTTTGCTGGGAGTTTGCAACCCCATTAGTTTGGTTGCGTAATATTTCTGCTAAGTGCTCTTTAAACTAGCAGAATAGGGAGGATGGTGCAGGTTTAAGTTTATTAGATTGATCAGCATTATTATAAATACTTTGGGAGCAGTGTATTTTTGCATACAGGTTTAACAGAATAGCAGCAAGATATTAAAAAAACAGTTTTATTGGTTAAAAACACTATATTGGATTCATATCGGTATCAGCAGATATCCAAATGTATGATATCGGTATCGGACATAAAAAAGTGGCATCGTGTCATCTCTACATCTGGATTTCTCCAGATACTCTCCTGTATACTTTGGTTGTAATGACTAGTTACTTGAGTTACTGCTGCCATTCTAATGTGACCTCTGATTTCTCCCAGAGAACCAGAGCTCACTGGATAGTTCCTCATTTTCATACCATCCTCGGTAAACCCCAGACATGGTTCACAGGAAAATCCCAGCAGGAGTCAAACCCTCCGAGGAGCCCACCAACCACGCCATGCTCATGGTTGGTTTGTGCTACAGCCAGTGCCTACATGCACTGAGTTGTGATATTTCCACTGAAAAGCAGGTGACCAGATGTAGCTTACAAATGTTATTACTGACGTCAGTTTGGATGCAGCAGGGCCAGAAAGTGCTGCACCTACAAGCTGAACAGCTCACGGCTGACCGCCACACGACAGAGCCATGAAACGTATGCAGCACAGTGAG